CAGGTCTCCACGTTACCGGCCTGTTTGTGTTACCTGGTGTCTTCCCCATCCTCTCTTCCATTCTGCTGTATCAGAAGCTTAACTTCTTTTTTTTTTTCCCCCACCCCTGAGAGAGAGACAGGATTTAGAATCAGGATCGGTGCTTGCTGCAGCTCTCCCGCGCCGGCATAATGGATCCGTGACCTGATTTAAACCTGTGAGAGCTGCCATAACGTAAATATTTGATGGAACTACGGCTTCCCTTTTTAAGTCTGCTTCAGTTTTTCAAGCTAAATCATGGCAAAGTATTCCTGAAAGCCACTTGTTAGCGTGGAGCTGTTTATGCAGTTCCCAGTTCTTCTTTTAGAGATTGTTCTGGCTTGGGGCGTCGTTTCAGCCTTGCTTTGTATTTAGGCAAAATCTGAGCAGTACGAGTAAACATGAAATTATATTTGTGTCATAATACATGGAAAGAAAGGGAGTAAAATCCATATGTCAGCTCTTACCCCAGATGGGAACCATGCTGTCACTCGAACGGCGACCGCTCCTTGCGTGGGCAGAGATGGTACGTGAGCACTACGGCAGTGTCCTGGCGTGGCTGGATAAAGGTGGTGAAGGTGGGGAGTGTGCTGAAAGACAACCAGTGACATCTTTCTACACCTTTTGGGCTGCCCTGGAGAGAAAACTTCTGTGTGTTTTGAGTGCTGGAAGGAGCTTTTTAAATGGGTTGAGTCAATATCCCAGGCTTAAATTTCTTACCCGTTTTTATGAGCGTGGACCTTCGTTAGAGGAAATAGTCGCTGTTCGCTAAAATAGGGTTCTGCTCGTTGCAGAAAGGCACGTTCCTGCATGGACAGTGTTTGTAGGGCTTCATGGACTGTGGGATGACGGTACAACAGAGGAGAGGTTCTGAAAAAAAAGCAATGCTAAGATCTGGAAGCAGCTTAACCTGGTACTGATCGAGGGTTGCAGCAGCCCTGCTGGGCAGAGCCCCAGTGATTTGGCCAAGCCAGCAGAATTAGCGGAATACTGGATCCGTTTGGCAGTGAAATAACTGGAAAATGCAGCTTTCTATCCCTGCTCCATGTCTGTTCTGCCCTGGGGGTGTGTCCTGCACGCAGGTATTTGGGTTCTTCCTATTGAAAGGAAAGGAAAGAGTTTGGACACTGGATTCTGCATCTGCTCACAGCCATCATCTGAAACACTCAACTTTGCTTTTTGGGGTGGGTGTGCTTTACTTCTGCCCGGGCTGTGATGCCAAGTATGGTGTGATATAATTCCTTTACTATCTTTGTTTTATAAACTCTATTTGTGGGAGAAGAAGGGAGTGTTTTTGAGGTGCCATCTGTCTTGACGTTAAAGTAGGCAGCTGGAAAACACGGCTTACCTCTAGCTGCTGCTGTCAGATACAGTCTTTAAAGTGTGAGGCGTCTTCTGCTGTGATGTCATAAGTCTTGGAACCACAGGATTTTTTTAAACCATTTAATTTGCAGGTCAGAACAAAGAAAGCGCTGTCAAATCTAGGAGTCTGAAATGTGGGCAAAGCCAAGATGAGCTTTCTCATTCTAGACTTTGCATCTGAGCTGTTCTCTTTTCTAGGAGACCAGAGGTACCAACTGATGAATTAATTGCTGTATTGATCCAAAACTTGGAGTATTAGCTCTCTGCACCAGTCTCTGCCTCTGAATGGCTTACAAATGTAGACTAACATTGCAACTTCAAGTTCATAAAGTCTTTGTTGGGAGACATTTAAAAAAAAAATAATTCTTAAAGCAAACATTGAACTTGACTTTTGTGTTTAGTGTTTATTCAAGAGATCCTTGCAGCTTTTAAAAGCACTTCATCAGATCTGGGTGCTCGATGGCGCAGGTGGGCAGTTCTTTTCAAGATAACACTGAACCACAAAACCTTTGCGGTACGGTTGCACTGTGAGCAGAGGGTTTTGCTGGATTTTGAGGGAATGGACAAGGACCCTAGGGTCAGAATGTTGCCTGTGTATTTTAAAGGTTACATAGCTATATATAGCTAAGGCTGGGGTTTTTTTGAAACTAATCAGATGAATCCTTGTTCAGTAAATTCCAGGCTTCTCTTGTTTTTTAAAAAAAAAAAAAAAATCTTTGGCTGTTTTCTGCTATTTACCAATGTGTCTCTTTGCAGGATTCATGAATAAAATTTTCCATCCCAACATTGATGAAGCGTAAGTAAATCCCTAGCGTGTGTTTTTTCTAAGGAGTTTGTCTAATTGTAACTGTATTTTGGCTCCACAATAATACACTGATGAGTTGAATAATGCTTTCATCAATCTAAGAGTCCAGAGGGGGGGATTTGATAGAAGTAAATGTTGTCGCAAGTTAAATCTCAGGAGTGGGTCAGGCTGGGGGCAAGGCTAGAGAGCTGCATGCTGCAGACTCTCTTGCAGATGTGGTCTTTGTGTTGTAACATGCTTCATCTACAGAAAATTCCGGGTTGCTGGTCCCCCTCCTCGTTGGCATCGTGCCGGCTTTCTAGAAACAAGGAACAGCGTTGGCTAAGCCATAACTCCCTCTTTAGCTGAAGTTCACGTCTGTTCCCTGCCCGTGGCAGGGGAGTTGGAACTAGATGATCTTTGAGGTCCCTTCCAACCTTAACCATTCCATGATTCTACTAAAACTCTTCAAAACATAGACATTTTGCCACCTTTTTTTCAGCTGAGGTTAGCACATGCCATAGTTGCTCAGTAAAGGCTCCAGTTTACCTTCTTTTGTGCAGAGTAGGGAGATTGATGTCGTTAAAGGCTGCTCCTCTGTTAACCACGAGAGGGGTGAATTGTGGCTCATCTGAAACAGTGGGGCAAAGGCAGGGCAAGGGAGAGGGTAGGTTTTATTGAATCCCCAGAGTATTTTTGAGTGTGACCGTGTTTAATTCTGTCCTTTCCGTATGTTTCAGGTCAGGAACTGTATGTCTAGATGTAATCAATCAGACTTGGACAGCTCTCTACGGTGAGTTTGGCATTTCCCCGAAAACTGATCACGGGAACATCCTTGTTTGGTGTGTTAACACAACGCAGCTTGTTGGAGACAGATGATCTTAGGCTGACTTTTCCTTTGGTTTTGTTTTTTTAACTGAAGTTTTAGACTCCTTGCTGAGCCAAGATCACGTGAAAAATAAGATTTTTTTCATGTGAAAATACTTTCGTAACCTCTTTTTATGCCAGTGAGGGGAAAATACTCCCTAAACCTCCCAAAGGATCACTCGATCCATTGCTTGTTATTGTCCGGCAACCGCACAACAGCACCCCACCATGGGTCAGCAGTGAAAAAGAGGAGTGACTGTATCTAAAGTGAAACCTAGTTCCAGCTACCCCATGCAGGTTTTGTACGGGAATTCGAGCTGCTCTTCTTTTGTGCACAAGGCTGTGATGTCACTTCTACAGAAGATGGCACCAGAAACCATTCCTGTTTGTCCTGGCAGCATCGTTTCATTGCAGGTTAGGACGTGGTGTTGCATCTAATGACTGCACTGCTTGCTGCAGAATGGTTCGAGTTTCCCATTAGGTCATTTTTAGCTGTAACTCTCCTTTAAAAGACCAGCTGGTAGCTGAAGACCTGGTAAAATAGCATTTAGGGAAAGCTGAAGTTGTTAAAAGGAATACAGCTCAGCATCTAATCTAGGTTGGCTGCTTTTTAAAAACGTGAACTTCTTCAGATGTTCCTTATACTTTGTGGAAGAGTATTCAGGGGAAGGTGCACATCAAATCCTTCACCTTCTTCCATGAAAAACTGATTTTTGCCTATGTAAGTTGAAGCTTTGAAGTAGTTGCTAGAGACAAACTACTTCACCTTCCTCGTAAGCACAATTGGTAAGGAAATACCAGACTTGGTGAATGCTGGCTGGGAAATTGCTATGGCAACTTGTTGAACTTTACTCCTGAAGTTCTCACATAGCAGTTGCACATGGCATACACCTCACATGGGTTTGTTGTGAGAGATGGGCTTAGCCATGACCCAGGTGGTGCTGCTAATGGAGGAAGAGGATGCTCTCGTGTCCTGGGAGGATCTGCTCCGAGGCGAAGGAATTAAAGCGGTGTTAGCAAACCCAGCCCTCCGCTGGGGATGAACCTGCACGGTTCAGTTGGCCGCAGAATCCAGCACAGTGCGGTGCGTGCTGCTGTTCCAGCCCTTAAACGCCTCCTGCAGACCGTGGGGATGACTGGACAAAAGAAAATCGCTCCAGTGGTGCTGGTTTTATGCTCTGGTGCTCTGGTTTCTCCTTCGGAAGCTGCGTGTGGGTAGCCTCCCTGTTCTGCAGCACGCTCTCACAGACGGTCACAGTGGGGTTTCTGCACTATTTCCAAACAATTTCATAGGAGGGCTTTCTGTGAGAGGTTTCCTCATGAGCGCTGCTGTATTTTTGTCATCGTTGTAGCTCATAAAGGTGGGGAAAAAACTTGTTATTTCCGTGCTTGTGATGTATTAATATCAGCAAGCTTGCCAAAATCTGCATTTTTCCTTGCGATGTCGGTGATAGGTGTTAGACAACTTGAAGGTATGAGGTGTGTATTCTGTGCAGAGCACCTTCCACAGTAACTGGTGGAGCTTGGCATCAGAAAGTGCATGGCTTGACAGTCACGTTACTGCAAACTACTTCCCTTGCCTGGCTGCAGGATGTCTGGAAGCTGCAGGGAGGACACTGCGGTGACTGCGTTCGCTCTACCCCTTCACTCGGATGTCATCAAGCACTAGACTGCCTGCATCACCTCTTCACTTCCAGGGCTTTGCCTCCTTATGTGAAATGAGGTGGCCAACTTCCAAACATGAAATGGAAAGGGGGAAATGATATTTCCCAGTGCCTCTTGGCACAGCTGTGTTTGTTGGAGTGTCACCCCTTTAAACCAGAGTGCTCCTGCGCTGGCAGAGGAAATGGGTCAGATAATTCAAAGAGCAACAAAGGTGGAAGAGACTCAGAATAGCTACCAATAAACTCGTGAGGACCTGGTGGTTAAATTCCCTCTCCTTTCCTAGTGAAGTATCAGGTCCTTAGCGCTGTGGTTAGGCTTCACACACGCGTTCAACTAGTTCCTGATAAACCGACGCTGCTTGGGGAGAGTTGAAAGAAGGGGCAAAGTACTGAGATCTCTTAAAGCAAAAAAAAAAATTCCTGTATGTGTCCTGTGAGCCATGGTGGCCTCCCAGGGCTCTGCCTGCGCAGCCAATGTGAGAGTTTAGTTGTCCAACGGCCATAAAAAGATACTTGAGCTAAGTCTGCTCTGTGGAGGGACTTGACCCAAGAGCAGGTGGCTTCAAAAACTCAAGTCAGCTTCTTGCTGATAGTGTCTGAAGAAATTCTTCACTGTGAGGGTGGTGAGGCACTGGCACAGGTTGCCCAGAGAAGCTGTGGCTGCCCCATCCCTGGAAGTGTTCAAGGCCAGGTTGGATGGGGCTTTGGGCAACCTGGTGTAGTGGAGGGTGTCCCTGCCCCATGGCAAGGAGGTTGGAACTGGATGATCTTTAAGGTCCCTTCCAACCCAAACCATTCTATGATTCTATTCTATGATAACCATTTGCACAGGGAGAGCACTTGGAGATCTCTTCCCTCTACCTGCCCTCCAGTTTTTGATGAATCCTTTAAAAAGTTAAGGGCTCCGAAATCCCTGCCCCCCTCAGATCTGGTTGAATTTAGCGGCTTCGTGAGGCTCAGTGGCTCAGGACTAGTCACAGGGACTGTAAGAGGCACGTTCAGATGGCGAGCTGCTCACATGGTGTATCTTCAGCAGTGTTGTTCTTCCCTTCTGACAGATCCTGTTCCATCCATGCTAGAGGGGACTGGTGATGCTCATCCCCAGGCAGGATTTCTCTGCCACCAAGAAAGAGGTGCTGCCTTTAATTAGGGAGGAAAGGGGAATCCTGATAAGAGGTGTAGAATATTCACAGACAAAACCCAACAGAAAACCCCACAGAACAAATTCTGCTCCACCTGTATCAGCAGCTCTCCAGTGGCTAAAGCGAAAGCTGGTGCACAGCCCTGCAGTGGGGGTTTCATCCCTGTGCCGTGTGGGTGTGCCTGGTCCTTCTGAACCCCCGAGGAGAAATGATGACACAGGGCTTGTTTCTGAACGCTCCCACCACCGAAGCGTGGTACTTGTCTCATCTTAGGGATGTGGGAAGAGGATTTCGTGTATCCACAATTACTCATCGACACCAGAAGTATGTTTCCTGTTGTGGATTATTTAGTGACAGATGCCAACTGGCACCAAGGTGTTAATGTGAGCTCTTCACATTCTGCGAATTGTTTTGAGTCGGAGGAAGGACTTATTGGTTGCTCTTTCCATGAGCACAATCATCTAACGCTCTCTGGAAGATGCTTTGTGCTGGAGATAAGTCAGTTTAGTCACGGAGCATAAAACATTTAAAGATGCTAATAGAAGGAGGCAGAAGTAGGAGAAGAATTCAGCGAGGGATGAAGCACAACGCTCTGGTTTTTTGTTTGTTTGTTTGTTTTTTTAAGTCAAGGCTGAGCCTCGATGGGAAACAAGACAATAGTGTCCTTCCACTTCTTTGCTTAACCCACCGATACTTGTATCTATGTGTTGGGATGTTGAGTCGGTGGTGCAGTTAGCTGAGGAGCTGCAGCATACCTCCAGCAGCAGCTCGGCACAGCCCCGGGTGTGTGTTCCCTGATACCATTTCCTTTATTTTAACTCACATCCAGATTTTCAGTGTGTTTGCCCTTGGAGCTTTGTGCTGCTGTTCCAGTGCCGGTGCTTGCGGGATGATTAATCAGGGTGATTAATCGGACTGACTCTGGAGCTGTGGACATGAACAACTGTGTCTTTCGCTTGCAGATCTCACCAATATATTTGAGTCGTTCCTGCCCCAGCTGCTGGCCTATCCTAACCCTATAGATCCTCTAAATGGTGACGCTGCAGCCATGTACCTCCACCGACCAGAAGAGTACAAACAGAAAATTAAAGGTAAGGACGTAAACAATGTATTGCAGAACGAGTGGCGTTGCTGGGATTCCGCCCTGGGGTGTGTTGGTGCCTGTTCCTTCCCATCACAGGGTCCCTGTCTGTTTTCAGTGGGGGTAGTCTGAAGTAAGGGGTGGATGAACCATTGCTGCTCGAAGACCAGAGCTGGTGTTTGCAGTACGTGGGGCAGGGGTTTTAGATCCTTGGCAGAGCCTAAGCAGGGAAGGCTGTGAGCAAACTGGGTTACGATTCAACACGATTTTGAGAGGTCGGAGAAGCGATGAGAAAGAAAAAGTGGCGACCAAGGAAGGGACAAGGAAAAGTGCTAAACTGGAACGGAAGCATCCAGTTGCACAGTTACTGGATAGAAAGTGGCTTGCTAGCAGTTCTCTGGGAAGTGATCTGAGAGCAGCAGTCAAGGAAGCGGTGATGCTGTTGCAGAAGGCACTTTTGTGCTGCAATAGAGCAGGAATTTTCGGTAAATGCCAAATAATCGTTCCTTGCTAATTCCTAGTTAAGCCGAGGCTTACTAACACTGTGCCTGGTGCAGAGACTGACGGGTAAGAAAGCAGCAGACCAGTTAGTAATGTCCCAAAATGCGTAACAAGGGCAGATGGTCTTGAAGATGTGTCTTAAGAGGAGAGATGGAAAGAATTGGTGGAGTTTAATGTAAAGGACCGAACGGGGTTTTGAGCTTTGACATGTCAAAGGTGCCTTTAAAGAGGAAGGGAATGATTTATCCTGTGATCAGTGTGAGCAGGATGTGTTCACAGGTGTGTAAATCGGCCAGGGGAGCCCAGGCTAAACATTAACAGTGACTGGTGAGGGTGGGTGAGCGCTGGCAGAGCCGGTGAGGGTGCTGGTGTGTCTGCTCCTGGAAGGACTGGAAGAAAACATTAGATAAGGCTGAGAATGGAGTCAGTAGCCGCTCGGGATCAGGGAAGGACGCTCAAATACTTTGGATAAGACTGGCGATAGAAGAACTAGCAAGGTAGTACTTGAGACACAAATGGAATTAGTTTTGCAAACACAAGAAAAAAGGTGAAAAATAAGAATTGCACTTTACGTTCGCGCTCTGCCTGCCGTAGGATCAGGAGCAGGGCACCGTTTCCTGATGGGACAGCCCTATGGCAAAGCCACGGAATTCATTTCTCCCCTGACGCGCTGAACACAATCAGCATTTAATCCGATGGTGGGAAATTTAACAGCCTTTGGCCCAGATTTGGTCTTCAGCTAAGTTTTTCAGAGACCATGACCACCTGATTATTTTCATTTTTTTTTCTTTTTTTTTTGGTTACTCAATAACCATAAGACTTGTTTGTCCACGGGAGCCCTGCCAAAAAGGTTTGCAGGTCCTGTTCAACACGGAAAGCTCCACGAGCAGCACGATCTAATCGTCTGGTGGGGTAGCAGCTTTCCTAACGGAGCTTTGTGGAAGCTCGTTTTTGTTCTGAGAGCGCAGGTATCCCACAAAGACGTGGGATTTGGTGGTGGAGCCCTTCCATCAGCTCTGCTACGTCGCTCTGGAGCGGTTGAACCTTGGGTTGCTTTGTTCTGATGCAAAATGACTCTTCATCAGCCGAGGATGGAACTACAAATGAGGCCAAGCAAAGCTGTGATTTAAATCCTGAGT